ACCACACATTAGTCACTCACACATCCCTATTCCAATTTAACTCAAAACGAAATTCCTTTGAGCCTTTTATACCAGAAAAATTCAAATGTGGAAGGATTGGCAAGTGAACCCCTAGTAATCTTTATGCTTAATCTAATTCAACTCAAAACGAAATTCCTTTGAGCCTTTTATACTAGAAAAATTCAAATGCAGAAGGATTGGTGAGTGATCAGGGCCTAAAGGTTCCAGATTACACACCCGAGCATTTTGATGCTTCTCTCGCCAAATAGTATTGCAAACTGCACAATCTAGTCTTTCTTCCACATTTGCGTTGCTGAGTCTCTTATTTGACCATGTGAAAGCCAAGCCTTTGGCCCCTAAATCCTCCATATTACATTGAGTCATGAAGTTCTGAAATTCAGCCAATGAGTTTAAGTCTCTAGTGTTTCCCCCTTCTTTTTCAAAATCAAACAGCAAGTCATTGAAATCTTCACAGCATAACCATGATACAGCATTCCCAGGATTAATATTCTTCAATCTTCCCCACCAATTCCTTTGGTCTTGCTCTTTGGGAGGACTGTCAATTAATGTTAGTATAGCACCTCCTTTATTTTCCCATTATACATTAATTGGAACTATTATTGGGTGTTTTCCCACGTTTTCGGAAGAAAATTTCAGTTTCAAAATTTCACATTTTATTCTGTCCGTACACTGTTTATCTGAAATTAGGCCAATTTTGAAAATTCATAACTAATTCTAGAAAAATCAAAACGAGTTAGTTCTAATTTTCACATGAAGCTTGCTAAGATTTCTATAGAGAAAAAATATTAATTAGACTCAATTTCATCCGGAACAGCACCAAAAAATTCAACAAAATGCACTGTTCATATGGTAAAATTTTGAATTTCCAGGATTTTAGTCCAACTTTGGAAGGGCATAACTTTTAGCACAAAACTCCAAATTTAATGATCTACCACTTGGTTTGAATCTAAAAATGAGATCTATTTGTCTGTAAAATCTCAGGTCTAGATTTTATCATTTGCTTATTATTTTATGTGGTACAAAATTGCCTCTTTTTAGGGCATTTTTATCCCCTAAACCATAATTTCTTCAATTTTCCTTTCTCTTTTCCAATTGCCATCCATCCCAACACATCACACTATGATTATAAATCATCATATAGCATTATAATTTGCATAATTTCAAAGTATTCCGTATCCATAATACATTACAAGCTTGTAGCAAAGTTCAACAAAATATAACATAACTTAATACATTGTCACAAAGTCTCCATGGCCTCCCTAGCTCACGTCAATTCTTTGCCCTCATCCATACTTGGTCCACTCCCTATTGTTGCATAATTTAACATGGGGGGGAATGAAATTTCATAGAAATTTCAGTAGCAATGAACTGTAATCATCATGTTAATTAAGCTATGTATAATGTGATATGTCATAAAATTTTAGACAAGTTACATAAAATCACATTTTTCATATCAAGGGAGGAATTAGACACACTTTCACATTAACATATTATCATACATTTGGCCAAAGCATATCGAATTCATAAAATCAATAATACCGCAAAATAAATTCCTTACTTCAAGTAATCCATATAAGCACATTACACAAGCAAGATAAACAATCAAATTGCAATTCAATGCTACTTTTTACTACTTGTCCAATTTGGTCACCTCAAGGGACAATAATTCTCCTTGATTCCTCCTCACAAAGCTTATTAATTCAAGCATAAACATATGCTATATTAATAACCAAACAACTTATATACAACTCTCAAACTTTACCTCAATAATTCCCCCCTTTTTCTTTGATTTTTAACCAAGTGATTCCTCCTTTAGAATCAATAACTTCACGACTCAACCCTACACAATTTTTCATTAGGAATCCAATGGTGCAATTAGATTTTTGAAATTCACACTCCTCTTCCATGAATTTACCTTGGCCAAATAGGGGGCTATATATTTTCAAAAATTCCATTTTTGATTCCAATGATTTTAAACACTTCCCAACAACACATCCCTACACAAAAACATGTTTTAAAGCCATTGGAATCATCAAATTAAGCCAAAATAATCAGCTCCTGCATGAACAGTGCTGACCAAAATTCCTCCCCTTAAACCCTAACTTTAATTTCATCCAAAAATCAATCCATACACCACTTAATCTTCCTTATTCCACTTGATTATTAAGGTTTCTATCCTTCCCTAAGCATCACATGGCTGGACCGAAATTTACGGCATTTTTCTATAATTTTCCAAGCCAAAATCCTAATCCAATCAATGTAAAACTTAAGGATAATGATGTTTAGACATACCTTAATGTTTCCTCAGTGTAAGTTGGATGATTCCTTGCTTAAAACACTCAATAATTTTGAAGAAATAGGGCTGGAGCTACAGTGACAGAGTTTCCCCTTATTTTTCTAATTTTCTAACATTTATTTGTATTTTCTAAGGGGGTGTTTATAGAAAAAATCCATCTGCTCCTCCCCCTCCTGATTTGGTAAAAAATAGACACCTCAAGGGATGTATGTGGCAGTCATCAAGTGCATGAAATGATCATATTTGAACAAGTGGCTTTTCTCTAGATTTTTCCACAAAATTATCCCTTAATTTCACATTTTATTTAATAAAAATAGAGGAACCTGGAAGCTGCAAGAAATTGGACCCTTATTAGGCTCAATATGGGCCCCACAAAATTTTTTGGCTGGTCCAAAAAGATGGCCCACAAACCAAACACTATTTCAAACCAATTTGAAACTTTATCAGTTACTATTTACTAGTAACATTCTATAATTTTTCCAGACCTCCAAAAATTTATTTCTCTCTATGATAAGTCACCTTTTAATATGAGAATATGATCTAAAAAGTTTCAGAATTTTTTGCTATCTCTAAGTATTTATTTTGAATTTTCTCTGATTAGGCCTTTATCGGTGTCACTGTGGGAAAATAAATTCTCTAAAATTATTTCCTGAACTTTCAAGGCCTAAAATTAATTTTATAAATTTAAATAAATATTTGGATTAATTATTCATCTTTTTTTAAAATTTATTGAGACCTTCAACTACTTAAAATAATTATTTTCCTTCGATTTCCCAATATTTTCCTGAAAAACCTTTATTTACGAGAAATTCTGTAATAATTTGTTTTCACCGTAATTTCACCTTTTGAGCCTCAACTGAGTTTCCAAAACCTCTAGTTTGTATTGTTCTCACTTTTCAGGAATTTTCTAGAATTTTTCTCCAATTTTCCCATTTTGCCCTTCCTAAACGATAATTACGAAAATGCCAGCCTGGACCTTATCGGGGTTTCACATCAAAAGTTATTTTGTCTCCCCATCTAGTTCCTACATTGACCCTCATCTAAATTTTTAATCCCTTATATCCAAGTGAAAATTTTTCAGGATGTGACAGTTAGAAAACCAGATTCCATCTCCAAACCTTTCAAAACTTTCAAGTGGATTATATTTCTATCTGACTTGACAAACTGCAACTATAAGTCATCATTCCACCAAGCTGCTAAGCCACCCCCCTATACCCATAGGTTCCCACAAATCTTGTTCTGAAAATTTAGTCTCTTGTGCCATCACTAAACTTTTTCCATTTTCACTCTAGTTTCCATGAGAAAGACTAGAGAAGGTCTAAATTTAGAACACAAGAACTGTAGGTTCTTGCCTGTCAGGGACAACCTCAATCCCTAACAGTTCCAGCTCAATATACTCATGGCAACTTGGTGGCCATTTGAGGTTGACCATTAAACCCTACCGCTATAGAATCACAACCTGAATCTTGTTTTTCCATCCCTTCAAAAACATTAGTAGAAACTAGTTCCAGCACCAAAACTTCTACCAGGTTACCCTTACTAATTTCGATAGATTTATTGCCCTTTTTCTTTGTTGTCTTTGAAGGTGAGTTTTTCCTATGACAAAAGGTTTCTCATTCTCTTTGTTCTGAAATAATTCCGCAGCTTTCTCAAACTAATCTGCAACTTCAACCCTTGCTTTTTTTGGTATTGATGACTCCCAAGTTTCATCTAAAGCTCTTTTTTAGCTAACCTTTTCCATCTTCTTTACTAAAGTCCCTTTATATGTTATCTATAAAAGACCCTGCTTTGGCATGTTAACATTCCTTTCCTCACTATCCTCAGGCAATTCAACAATATGAGGCACACTGGTTGCTGGCCTGTAGGATTTTGCTTCCCCAACAGGTGCTCCTGTGTCAGTATTGCATTCTTTTCCAATATCAAAGTCTTTTCTAGCGACTACAGTAAGATTTAGGACCTTTTCACGCCCTGTAGGCATTGGTTCATTTATTTTTGAGGGCCCATTATTGAACAAGGCCCTTCTGCAATCCTTTGGAGTGGGTTCCATTCTTGCTTTTCCTTTTTGCACCTGTTTTATTGGGCTATTAACTTCATCCATATCCATATCCAACATCGGCCCATTATTGTAATCAATTTCCCCCTCAGCAGATTTACCTACAGGGATATTCACACTAAAATGAAAGACAAAAGCATTGTCTTTGGAATCACTAATTTCAACCTTGCCTTTCAATCTCCATATACGCATGATCATTTTTGGAAATGTTGGGATGTTCTCTTGCTTGGAGGAAACCAGCTTCCCTACCAGTGAGAATCCCCCCTTCTTGCAATCTTCCTCTTCCCAATCTAGTTCACATTCATTCCTGTCCTCCATTACAACCTCCATTGTGCAAAAGAAGAGCGAACCTCCAATAACCCCCTGAAAACTGCCAGAAAGCAGTACTAGAACAGAGCCTTAACTTGAGATCTTGTAAAAAGAGCGCTAAAACATAGTTGAAACAGAGCACTGTAGATGAAAAAAGGAAGAGAGAGAAAGGATCAGGAGAGGTCAGAAAAGGAGATGGTGGTCACAGTAAAAGGCCCTAAAGTGAGGCCCTTTACTTAGAGCGGCCTTGTGACAGAGACTATGGCTAATCACAGCTGAGAAAAGGTGGATTAAGAGGAACTGGAAGCGCTATATGGGAGGATGGCAACGGCGCTGACGCACTGGAGCGAGGGAAAGCGCTCACTGAGAAGGAGCGATAGGTCGCTCTCACGAAGGTAGAGAGATAGCTAGCAATCAGTTTTGAGTCTCTCTCTCTTTCTTGTTTCATTTATGACTGTGTTCTAAACATGTGTGAGGATAGTCTTTCAATTTCTAGAATTATTTTGAACCTTTTTTTATTTTTCAATTGGATGAAGTATGAAATACTTCTCAATAATTTTTTGATTATATATAGTAGACTTGCTTTGATTTTTTCTCTATCTATATGTACGTACACACAGTGCTGCGTTGGTGTATTGTGAGTAATTATATATTTGCATACCTATATGGGTGTTGATATATACGATAAATATGTAACAAAAAAATAACTTATTTTCCAAAAACATCATTATTTATAGAAAAAAAGTGAGTGGGAAAAAGAATGAGTAAAAAAAAAACAGAGATGAGAAAAAATAAGTGAAAAAAAAGAAACGACAAAAACATACAATTAATTAAACAATTATAAAGTGTAAACTATAAAAAGGAATATATCCATTCAAAAAATTGTCCCTTAAAAAGAGTAATGAAGGGAGTAGATTTTTTTTAACTTGAATTGAATAGCCTATCTATGCTGATTCACTATTACTACAATTTTTTAAAACATAAACTTTTGTCCCCCAAGCCTATAGTCATCACTACACGTTTTAGTCTTTTTCCTTTTTTTTTTAAGAGTAAAAAAAAAGGCCAAAACGAGAGTTCCCCAAACAAAAGGGTCAACCAACATCATCAATTCCATTTTGTTCTAGCAACAGGTAGATTGAAGCTAACGTCATGCATTCGCAAAGGCGAAGACAAACAAGCTTGGCAACGATGAATATAAAAATTTGGTAACTTGCTACAAAAAGGATTAGTCTCTCGTGTTAGAGTATAATACCTTTATCATTCTATATTATTCGTATATTATTGTAACAGCTGTAATAGGTCTAGATCCTTCCACCACTTTCCATGTGTATGGATTTGATAGGACTTGAATTATTCTTTACCGATTCTCTTTATAATGCTCTTGTCCTCTAGCGTCTGTATTCCTGATTATATATACAATAAGAAAGGCAAGGCACTATGCATCGATTCTGAATATTCATTTTACCCTAGTATTTTTATCTTGGCATCAGAGCATTGGCGGCATCAGATTCTGCTTCCTCTGCTACAAAAACCTAGCTCATTGAGCCAAACATCTACAATTAAGCTGGATCACAGCAACTTTCTGGTGTGGGAATCGGTCGTGTTGCCACTGATTGAAGAAACTGATTAGAAGGTCATCTTGATGCTAGAGCAAAGATCTCGCCTCGGTTACTCCCTGAAGCTGAAGGGACTAAAGCTAATCCAAAACTTGAGGAATGGTTTGCGGTGGATCGCATGTTGGTTGGATGGCTTCGAAACACTATGTCTCAAGATGTTGGAGCACAACTTCTACATTGCAAAATAGCTTCCAAACTGTGGAATGGAGCTCGAGAGCTCACTTGTGCATCAACCAAGGCAAGAATCATGGTGTACAAAACTGAGTTGCATCATACTAGGAAAAATGGTCTGAAGATGGAGGAGTATTTGAGCAAAATAAAATCCATTGCTGATCAACTCGCTCTTGTCGGAGCACCCATAAGTGATGAAGATTTACTTCTTCACACCTTGAATGGTCTCGACGTAGAGTACAATGTGATTGTTGTTAAGCTGGCTGATCAAGTTGGACTCACCTCAGTCGAAGTGTAGGCCTCTCTCCTTTCTTTCGAGAGCCGTTTAGAGCAACTCAATGAGTTTGCCTCTCTCACTATTCAGCCAACTGCTAATATCGCTCAATAACAAGATGATCACTCTAATGGCTCTATTGATAGGCGGTCTTCCGACCCTGGACGAATTGGCTGACGCGGGAGTCATGGCCCAAGAGGTAGGTCGCGTGGTCGCTGAGGAGGGGGAAGCAATGGTCGCACCTATTGCTTTTATTGTCAGCGACCAGGACACATCATGGCGCACTGTTATTACAGGAATGACAGAACTTTCATGCCACCATCCCACTTTGGTCGCCTTGCTGATAGTTTTTCGCCTCAAGCTTTCTATGCTTCTCCACACTTTGTTTCAGATCCGACTTGGTACATGGATAGTAGAGCAAACTACCATGTAACTCCTCACTCCAACAATCTTGATCAAATTGCTCCAACTAGTAAGTCTCATCTTTCTACCTGTACTGGTGAGAAGAATCGGGTCATGGGTATTGGTTCAAAGCTCTTTTCCTGTCCTACTTCTAATACTAAATTGCTTCTCAAGGATGTGTTATTAGTTCCTGCTGCTACTAAAAACCTCATGAGTGTGAATAAACTTATTGAGGATAACCATGTTGATATTAGCTTCACTGATTCTGGTTGTAATGTGAAGGACAAAGCGACAAGGCAATTTTTGATGCAAGGAACACCCAGGCAAGGATTGTATCCAATGAGCAATGAGATCAAGTTTCAACCTCAGGCATATGTTGCGCAGTTTAATGGCAAAGAAGATGAACTCAAGAGTTGGCATCACAAGTTAGGACACCCTAGTTTTAGAATTTTGAAAGAAATTTTGAACAAGTGTAATGTGAAAGTTTCTATGAATGAAAAATACTTCTGTGAAGCTTGTCAATTTGGGAAATCAAAGCTTTTACCATTTTCACAGTCAGTTTCTCATGCCTCTGAACCTTTAGAATTGATTCATTCTGATCTGTGGGGACCCTCTCCAGTGCAATCTGTTGGTAGACATAGATATTATATACACTTTGTAGATGATCACAGTCAATACACTTGGATATATCTATTGAAACATAAAGGAGAAGCTATACATGCCTTCAAACATTTTAAAGCCTTTGTTGAGAATCAGTTCAACAAGAAAATTAAAGCACTTCAATGTGATAATAGATCAGAATTTAAGCCTTTTATTCCTATAGCACAGTCTGCTGTTATCAATCTAAGATTCACTTGTCCTTATACCTCATCTCATAATGGAAGAGGGGAGAGGAAACATCAACACATAGTAGAAATGGGTTTAACCTTATTAGCTCAAGCACAAATGCCACTTACATACTGGGTTGATGCTTTCCAGGTGGCTATTTATTTAATAAATCGGTTACCAACACTAGTGTTAAAAGGTGATACTCCTCTGTTCAAGTTGTTTAAAATAAAGCCAGATTATAACTCCCTTCAACCTTTTGGGTGTGCTTGTTATCCTTGCCTGAAACCATATAATGAACACAAATTCCAATTCCACAGCCAACGATGTGTTTATTTGGGGTTAGCCAATCAACAAAAGGGATACAAATGTTTGAGCTCAACTAGGAAAATCTTTGTATCTAGACATGTGATTTTTGATCCATCTTCTTTTCCTTTTGCTTTAGGATTTCTTAATAGAAGATCAAGTACTGGAGAATCTAATGACACGACGATGATGATGCCTCCACTAGTATCGGTCACAAATTTGACAGCAACAAACCAGCAACAGCCCGAGTTTGACACTAAAGTCTCCTCTTCTTCAAGTCACTCTGTTTCTAGTAACGATGGCCCTTCTCTCTCAGATCCCAGGAATAGTTTTGGCTTGCAGAATCTTTCTCCATCACAGAGCCTGTCTATTGAAGTATTATCTTTAGCTCAACCTGTTGAAGCCCAATCCTTAAGTAACAGATCCATATTTGAGGCCTATGATCCACCCCAACAAGTCCAGCAAGTGGTAAATAGACATCCTATGGTAACTAGAGCTAAGGATGGTATTTTTAAGCCCAAACACCCTTTTGTTGGACTCATGCAAGCTGAAGATTCTGAGTCTCTGTCTGAAGTATCAGAACCCTCCTCCACCACGATAGCTCTATCTCTCCCACATTGGCGACGTGCGATGAATGAGGAGTTTAGTGCTCTACAGAAGAACAAAACCTGGATTCTGGTACCCTATGGTGGAAAGCAAAAGCTCCTTGATTGCAAATGGGTCTTCAAGACCAAGTTTCAAGCAACTGGATCTATTCTAAAACACAAATTGAGGCTCGTTACGAAGGGGTTTCAACAAGCTGTCGAAATTGATTATAGCGAAACGTTCAGTCCAGTCGTTAAACCTACAACAGTCTGAGTGGTTCTCACTATTGCAGTTACTTTCAATTGGGAAATCAAACAGCTGGACGTGAACAATGCTTTCTTAAACGGTTTCCTTCAAGATGTGTATATGAGGCAACGGGAAGGTTTTGTTGGTCCAAAACACCCAAATCATGTATGTCGGTTGATTAAAGCCATATATGGTTTAAAGCAAGCATCAAGAGCTTGGTATGATTGCTTGAGGCTTACACTACAACAGTAGGGATTTTATAATGCCAAGAGTGACACGTCTCTGTTTCTGCTTCGAACAAGTAATCTTACTGCTTTCGTATTAATTTATGTGGATGATATACTGATCACTGGAAATAGTCCTGCTTTTCTAAAGAATTTTGTGCAGTAGCTGAATTCCATGTTTTCCTTGAAAGATCTTGGACCATTATACTACTTTCTGGGTCTTGAGGTATACAGAGACAAATCTGGAATCTTTTTGAATCAGGGTAAATATGTGCTAGACTTGTTGAAGAAATTTAACATGCTAGACTGTGCTCCTGTTCCAATCCCTATGGTTACTGGCAAACATTTTTCACAGAATGATGGAGAATTGATGAAAGACCCTACTGTATATAGAAGAGCTATAGGATCATTACAGTATTTGACAACCACTAGTCCAGACATTGCCTTCTCTGTCAATAAGTTGAGTCAGTTCTTGTCAAACCCAACTATGAATCATTTTTAGGCTGTTAAGTGTTTATTGCGTTATCTAAAAGGAACATATAGTTACAGCTTACATATCAAGCCTTGTCCATCTCTTCAAATTATGGCATATACTGATGCTGACTGGGCCATCGACCTTGATGATCGCAAGTCCATGGGAGATTTTGTGTATATCTGGGTCACATATTGGTCTCTTGGTCTTCTCGCAAACAAAGAGTTGTGTCAAGATCTAGCACTGAGTCTGAGTACCAAGCTTTAGCTTATGGTGCTGCTGAAGTGAAATGGTTAACATCCTTGTTGTTTGAATTAGGACTATTCTTGAGGAAACCATATGTGCTGTGGTGTGACAGTATGAGTGCTCGTGCTTTGGCAGCTAATCCTATTCAACACAGTCAAAGCAAGCACATTGAGATTGACATTCACTTCATCAGAGATATGTTAGCTTCACAATGTATTGACATCAAATACATTCCTTCCAATCATCAAATAGCTGACTGTCTAACCAAGTCTCTCTCTCACTCTCAATTTTCCTTTTTCAGGAGCAAACTCGGGCTGTCTATTACACCCTCTTGTTTGAGGGGGAATGTTAGAGCATAATACCTTGTATCATTCTGTATTATCAGTATATTACTGTAATAGCTGTAATAGGTCTAGATCCTTCCACCACTTTCCACGTGTATGGATTTGATAGGACTTGAATTATTCTTTACTGATTCTCTTTGTAATGCTCTTGTACTCTAGCATCTGTATTCCTGATTATATATACAATAAGAAAGGCAGGGCACTATGCATCGATTCTAAATATTCATTTTACCCTAGTATTTTTATCTTCTCGTAATGTTGTAAACCAAGATTCAAATTTCTATTAGGAGGAGAGGTACTCACATTTAATACCCGACAGTGCCTCGAGTAAAATTGTCTCTAATAGGATGATATATATGCATAACCAAAAAAAATGATAAATATAAAAGTTAAGTTTTTTACAAGATTTTTAATTAGGTGCCAAACAAATTCATGGTAATCATTGCTCCGTCGCCATGAATAGCAAGTCATTCCATTTTTAGCTGTCATTGACAATTCCACTAACTCCATATATATTTTATTGTTTTGCTTTTTCTCTAAAAATGGAATGACGTGATATGCATGTATTGGGAGACACTATTTATCCCTAGACGAGCATCTAAAATGCATGTTCGTTAGGAACATATTCATTTCACCATATCCTTTCTCGGTATTACAAGCATCTTTAACATCTCTGTCTCTTTCCCTTTATTTTATTTTCTAAGGACTTTATTAGGATTGCCTAACTTCTACTTTTTCTAATCTTTCATTACGTGTTTAACGTTTATTCAGAAAGACCGAATTTTACATAGTGTCTACTTAATGATTGATTTCAAGCTTTCTCATCTCGACCCTGCAATCCTTTATTGTGATAATCAACCTTCTCATCAGAGATGCTCTCAATCTTACGTTCCACGAAAGGACCAAGCACATTAAATTGGATTGTTACTTAGTTCGTGAGAAGCTGCAAGCTAAAGTTATTCATTTGCTTCCTGTTAACTTTGCTGACCAGCTCACCGATAGATGCATTCACTAAACCTTTACACCGCGCTGGATTCCATGAACTTATCTCCAGCTTGGCATGAAAAATATTCATGCATGGGCTCCTGCTTGAAAGAGGCGACAAGTATAGAATAAACTTTTGTTTAGTTATAACTAGATTCTGTTACTGTAACTTAGTTAGCTTGCTTCGTTTTGATGTAAATATTCTTTTTTCATACTCTTGTATAAGTACTGGATACACATCAATGGAAGCATTCATATCCAAAATTATCACTCACACATATCCCATTATTTTTGCGTTGTTTCATAAAATGACTCTATTGCATTATGTTGCGGGGATTGAATATATATGAAATTCCTCGAATATGACTTAGAGGGTCAGTTGTGGTTTAC